AGAACCAGAAATAGAAATGCACTCATTGGACAATTTTACTTTCAAAATATACTATGTGAAAATATAGAATGTAACACAGTACACAACGCTGGTATGAAAGAGAATCTGTTCTGTTATTGCTTTATCTTAGTCGTTTAGTTTTGAGTAATGCCAACCAGGAGTGTATCGGCTTTTTGAGAAACTAGTTTTGTAGTTTACCTATTTCTATTTAACCCCCAATCAAATATTAAACATACTACATTGTCTCAACCTATTTTCTTAGCTTGTTTATTGTGTTTTGAGGCAGTGTGTAGATGACTATGTAGTCCTAGTATGCCTGAAACTCTTTATGTAGATTAGGCTGGTCTCAAACTTGTAGCATTCCTTCTCCTGCTGCCTCACAATGCTGGAATTAAAGGTATTTGCCACTGCATCCAAACAATACTGTCATGTGCCTCTCCTAACGCCATGCTAGTAGTGCTCTAAAAATTCTGACCTTCCAAACCAAGATCTTTATATCACTCTCATTGTGTAATTGTTCATCTGTAAAATTGAGCTTAGTGGACTGTTGTTCATCCTCTTAGTGAGTATTATCATAAATATTGGGCTATTGGATTACTAAATAATAATTTATGCACTGTAACAGAACAGAATAAAATACAAGATGCCCTCCAAAATTGCTGCACCTTGTTTTATATCCTGAGACATCTTTGATTACTTCGTAATTTTAGGACGAATAGTTTCCCGACTCTATACTAAGAGAGCAACGGGCCAGGCAGAAACTGAAGTGTTGCTTGCATCTTACCTTTTCTAAATGCAGAGGACGCCCAATTTTCAGTGTCCTAAATATGAAAGTAAAATTGAAATTAGGCATTAAGACTACCATATTAGTTTAGCTGTATAAGAAGATAATATTTAAGAAATCATATATACTTACAGTACCAAGAGAAGTAATAAGGGAGTTTGATTCTCCTGAGAATGTTGTGACTTGCAAATGTTTAAAACATAAGACAAAATTCATACGTATTAAAAAACTAATGTGAGTGAAATGTAATTGCACCTTAATATTATCTTTAGTGGAAACTATCTTTGTTCCAAGCATTTGCCAGTCTTTTCGATTTTGGAGAGTAGCTACTGTACCAAATACTGTACTGCTTCATCATTTTTATCATGCCAACGGTGTCAGTATTACTAATCACATTGACACAGGGGAAAACAGAAGCTTGAAAGGTTCAATAACTTCCTTTGTGCCAGAGAGCAAAAATTAACAGAGCAATAGATACTGAAGGCAAGTTGTGCAAAATGAAAAAAAAAACGTGCTCTATCTAATGCTTACCTCCATCATCATTTCTATCATCATCCAAAAGGCATCATTTCACTACTTTTATAGTTAACGGCAGAGCTCTTAGGAAGTATTTTTTCCTTAAAGTGCTAGAAAAATATAGCACAAAGTTATTTGCTTGAGCAGAAAAAATATGTAAGTTGCAAAACTCAGACAAATCCCAGACAAAATTATCCACATGTATGCCCTTTCTGGAAATTTCCTTCAATAGTAATCTATTATGATAAAGATGGCTTGTAGGAAATTTATCTGTTTTTTTTCCATTTTCTTTTATTTCTGAGTATATAATATAATAACATAATTTCCCTCTTCTTTTTGTCCCTCTAAACCAATGGTTCTCAACCTGTGGGTCACAACTCCTTCCACAAACCTCTGTCTCTAAAAATACTTACAGTATGAATCATAACAGTAGCAAAATTACAGTTATAAACTAGCAACAAAAATAATTTTATGGTTAGAGGTCATGACAATATGAAGAACTGTATTAAAGTGTCGCAGCATTAGAAAACTTGAGAAACGATGCTCTAAACACTTCTGTTTTAGGGTCCTATTGTTGTAAAGAGACACCTGACCATGGCAACTCTTATAAAAGAAAGCATTTAGCTGGCTTCCAGTTTCAGAGGTTTAATTCTTTATTGTAGTGGCAGGACGCATGGTGTCATGCAGGTAGTCATGGTGGTGGAGAATGAGCTAGAACTTGTACATCTGGATCAGTAGGTTTCAGGAAGAGACTGTACATTGCTAACTCTGGCTTGAAATTTTGAGACCTCAAAGCCTGCATTCAGTGACACACCTCCTCTAACAAAGCTTCACCTACTTCAACAAGGCCACTCTTCCTGATAGTGTCAGTTCCTATAAGCCTTTGGGGTCATTTTCATTCAATCATTCAAACATTTCATTCAAACCACACTTCCCACATACCCTTCCTTCCTCTCTTTCAAATTCATAGTCTCTCTTTTATTAATTGTTGGTATGTATATCCACTTATTTCCGAACATAACTTATTTAATCTGTATAATGACACTCGTATGCAACTTTCAGGGTTGACCATTTGATATTGGATAATCAGTTTGTATGCTGTTCCCTGAAAAAAAAATGATTTTTCTACCTCCCAGCATTCCTTATTTGCTAGTAGTTCATTGAGTTGTTTGCTAGGTTCTAGTACCAGGGATGGTTTACTTATATTGAGTCTATTAGAGAGTTGTTGGTTACCACAAAGGTATGATGCCACCAGTGCATCCTTAGGGTTAACATGCCCTGATGGTCATTGTTGTGCTTCATACGCATCATGACTGGGTAGGACTGTTGTCTGTTTCTTTCCATTGGAATCTTGCATGGTACCATATGAATTACTCTTTAGGGATGAGGCATTTGGGTCTCTTCCAATTCAGAGGCTTCTAAGGTCTGTTTCTGGGGTGTAAAGTATCTTTGACAGTAGAGACTTACTTTGTCCTCTGGAATTGCTAAACAATCTTATGAAATAATCAGCTAATCAATTTAGTGCCTGGAAAGAAAGTATGTCCCCTGATCTTTTGCTAACAGCTATTCTAATATAAGGTAAAAATTTCCCAAAAGGCCACTTGCAGATTAGGTCTTATTCAACACAATGGCATTACCTATGTCCCTCGATTTTGATCATTTTAGATTCAGAACAAGTGTCTTGCTTAGAGACATTTCTAAGGCTCCTGATTATGCTTATTAGTGCATTCATTGTCTCTACCGTTAAATTCTTGTCAGGAGCAAATTTTTTATACATGTTATAAATGTCCTTATCCAAGTTATTAAAAACTTACAGAACAGGGCAGCCCACATGCTACAGTGTGCTGCTAGCCAGTTTGCTCTATAATTGCAGTGAAGAATATTCAGAACCTTTCTAGTTGTAGTGAGTGGGAAAAAAGCTGAATACAGCAAGCTCTACTGGGCTGTCTGCCTGTACTTCTCCTCCAAAAGAGTATTATGAGAAATACTCAGCTCTGTATTCTCAATTTATCATTTCAAACTCTATACTGGTAAGGTGATTCCTCAGACCCATGTTCATCTCAATTCCACAAGAAAAGGCATTGCTAATGGAGACACATATTTTGATGTCCATACAACTCTTTAATTTAAAATACAAAATTATTTATGTGATGAAGTGAAACAGCCAATATACACTATTCTTAGCTCAGTCTGTCAGAGCATTTGCATAATATCACAGTGTACTAATTTCAGCTGTTTGCAATAGCAGAACCAGAAGGAGCAAGGCCAGACAACAGTGGAAGGAGCTGAAGATGCTACAATACTGCTTTTCATTAATGAAAAAGCTTCAAGAATGGCCTCCAAAAAAGAACACTTGTCACAGCATAAAATGGGTGCCGTCCAAGGAGTATTGATTGATCTCCATTACCCAGGAAATTAGAAAGAGAGCCATAGTACAAAAATTGATCTTTGTCAATAAAAGAAATCTGTGTTTCTATTGGAAACTATCTCTTTTCCTGACTCCTAGGATGTGGTCATTACAAATGGTATAATTTTGTAGTAATTTTTATGTGTTATCTTAGGAAATTATTCAATTGCAATAATGACATGTGCTTACAATAGTGATTTCAAACCACTTTTAATCACAGTCACTTACAAAAGCAAAGTACCATGGGAATAAAATATCCTCCGGTGTACTGAGGACTTTCTTTTTGAAACTTAGTATCAGTGAAAATTCAAAGTTTCGTTCAGTTATGCTGCCTGGATAGCAATCTTTTCATTAGAATAGAAGTGTCTTGATAACAACTATGTCCCCAGCAATGACATAAGTCCTACAACAAAGCACATGCTTAATATTCATAATATCAATAAATTAATAGATAATTAAGATTTAGCCACAAAAATTCCTATATGTAAGGATTCATATTCATATAGCCAATTTTTTATTCTGAATTTATATTGAGGACTTGGTATACATTAGGTTTTGAACAAGTGGTAATTATACAGAAAATAGATTATGTCTTATAATTTATAGTTCAGTAATTGGTCAAATGTAAAAGATAGATTCTCTATTCATGATAATTAGTTACTTTAGAATCTAGTTGGGAACAAGGCATGAACACATAAAAATCTAAATGAGACCTTATTTTATTATATCTTATTTATTTACTTATTAGTTTGAGAGAGGCTCTCATGACAGAACCCTGGATGGCCTCCAGCACACACTGTAGCCAAGGCTGCTCTCCCTCATTACTTTCCTGCCTTCACCTCCCAAGCACTAGGGTTACAGATGTATTTCATCATCACAGCAGAAATTAACCTATAAGATATAAAGTGTGCCTTTCCTTCTTATATGCATAGTTCATATGAGCTATAGAGTCTACTTAAAATTTCATCAAGTTGCTTTTTTCAGTTTAGTTTTGTGAAAGCTTTGCAGCTGTCCTTAACTGCAACATTTAAACATTGAATTCCGTTCTCCCTCGGCTATTTTATTATCACTTTTCAGGATTTTCTTTCCTGTATATTATAAATCCAAAAGCAAACAGGAAACAAAACAAAGTGTGATCCATGTTATTTGTTGCGGAAGCTCCTTCTGCTCCTTCAGCCAATAGCCGCTGAGATAACAGCCCATTGGGGCATGGTCTCTCTCTCTTTAAAAAAGCAGCCACTTCCCTCCAGTCTCTTGCTCTGGCTTCTGGCTCCATCTCTCCAGCTAACTTTAAGCATCCCCAAACTTCTTGATGAAGAGCACCAAAAACAATGGTACGTACTTCTGAGTCTGTCCACTGTGCCCTCGCAGCACTTTTAATTTAGATGGAGTTACATTTGCATAACAGTTTAGCTGTGAATTTGGCAGGAAATTCCTGAAGCGTTATTTTGGTTCTGCCAAGCGTGGGTTTAATATCTAATAAGCAGATCTCCTGTGCAGGATTGCCTTTTTTATCTTTAAGGAGGAAAAAAGCTGCTGTGAGCACTCATAGGTTGAGAAAAACTTCTTTTTCTCCCTTCTTTATCAGCAGTAGCATCATTTTACTAGAAGTGGGATATGTCCTTATTTAATGTTCCAAGTTTTCTTTACCACACGATGCTTATCACAACTATTTAAAGAACTTTGATTTAAAAAGTTATCTTGATACAAGGTTATAATTTGTTGAAAGAGAGCATTAAGCCTTTCTAACATCAGTCAAGCAGAACGTAAACCTTTTGATGGAATTGTTGAAGAACTTACCTAGGCAACCAGCAGTGAAGAGCTGCCTTTTGCCAATGACAATATAACATATAAAATGCCATGATCACAGTGAAAGACCCCAAGTGCTGGGGAGACTCTCACTCAAGTCTCCGGATAACACGCCCCCCCCCAGTAACTCACGAGTGTGCTGCAATCACACGAGGCTTTAATGATGAGATGAGATGGGAACCAGTGCACTGGGGCCAAGACTCATAACCCACGCAGGGGAAGAGTTTGACCCCAAGTGACCTGGAGAACCGATTTTTAAGGGAAGAGACTGCAGCCCAGTGATCCTGAATTGGCACGGAGTGTGTCACAGAAAATTCCGAAAATACCAGTGAAGATTACAAGGGGCCAACCCCCTGCCTCTCAGAACCACTCCCAAGGACATAATCAGCTAGTTCTTAAAATACATTACAATGACAATCACAAGGGGGAAACTCCCTGTTTCTCAAGATTACAACCTAACTTTATCTTCAGCTAGTTCCTGAAACACAGTCACTAACTGGCTAATCCTAGATTCTTGATTCTTCTCTTCTTGCTTGGATTTTTGGCTATTTTCGTCCTGCTGGGGAGGTCTGGATTTACCCAGGTCATTCAACAGAACGCCCCAAATGAGCTTATATAAGACATTAACTTTTAATATTCTAGTATGTTAGCCTATAACTGATGAATCATTATAATCAGACATGATATGTTTGTTAAATGGGTTCATTTTGGCTTATAGCTATCTCTCACAGTACAGAATATAGCATCATGAATATTTCACTTGTACAGCACAGAAAATCATTAAAGCTAGAATGAAGCTATATTTGGATGCAGAAAAATAATGTATTGTTAGCATGTGTTTGGGGCCACAAACTCAAGAATTACCCAAAAATTAATGACTACTTTTAAACTTTGGAAGGAGAGTGGATCTTCAGCATTTTCAAATATTCCACTTGATATCTGAGATGATATCTAGAAACCAAGACTGAGGAATCCATATTGTCAAGTCCCATTTACAGAAACACCTGGGAGTTGGGGAATGAAGCAGAGCAGGGGTACCATGCCATGATAGTACGATTTAAACTGTGCTTATGGAATTTTTATGACATGTAGGTGCCATGATAATCACTACATTTTTACCTTTTTGAGGGCTTTCCAGAAAGGAGAAATATCAATTTTTAACAAGTTTAACTTTTAATACATAAAATTTTCTGTTATATTATAGATGATATAGAAAGATTTTATCTTACATGACTGAAATAAATCTACTTGGTTATAATGTGTTCTCTGTTTTAATATGTTAATGAATACAATTTCATGATTGTTGGAATGATCATTTTAGAGTTGTGTGTTCAAGACATGGCACTCTTTTTTCTCTTCTTTGGATGACCTGTATCTCATTATAAAACAGGTTATAACAAGGAAAAACAAAAACATCCTATTGAAGTTGGACAAGGCAAACACACAGAAGGCAAAGAGCCACAAGAGAAAGCAGAAAGTTTTATTTTTAGTTTTCTTCTAGACCATAAAATTATTTTCTAATTTTTCTAAGTTGGTATAACATGATTTGTTACTGAAATGTTTGTCAGAACTCACCAATGAAATCATCTGAGCTTCAGGTTTTATTTATATAGATATTTCTACTTCTGACTTCAATTATCTTGACAGACACAAGACAGTTAAGACATTTTTCTTCCATCTAGTGTCTATTTTGATAAGTTATGTTTTTAATTTTTTTCTAATTTGTTGCCATTATATAAGTCATGTAAAATTATAAAATGTGAAGGAATATGTTCATTTATTCTTGAAAGCAAATATTTGTGATTTTTATTCATTATTTTCTTCGTCTTTCATGCTTTTATGAATTGTACTATCATCTCTCAAGAGAAATATTTTGTCTACTCTATTTTTACAGTGCATGTATTGTTTATGGGTTATATATTCTCTATCACTTTCTTTAATTATGCTGCCCTGGGTTCAATTTTGTTGGTTGAGGTTTCTGTCCTGCCTGGTCCTGTAGCCATTCAGTCACAAAAGAAATACACAGAGGTCTACGTTAATCATAAACTCATTGGCCTATTAGCTCAGGCTTCTTATTAACTCTTTTTTTTTTTTTTTGGTTTTTCGAGACAGGGTTTCTCTGTGGCTTTAGAGCCTGTCCTGGAACTAGCTCTGTAGACCAGGCTGGTCTCGAACTCACAGAGATCTGCCTGCCTCTGCCTCCCGAGTGCTGGGATTAAAGGCATGCGCCACCATCGCCCGGCTTATTAACTCTTTCTTACATCTTATATTAGTCCATTATTCTTGTCTATGTTAGCCACGTGGCTTGGTACCTTTTTCAAGGAGGCGTTTTTATCTTGCTTCCTCTGCATCTGGGTGACGACTGCAAACTCTCTTTCCTCTTCCCAGAAATCTCCTGTCCTAGTCGCCCCACTTGTAATTCCTGCCTGACTACTAGTCAATTAGTGTTTTAGTAGTATTTTTGTACAACTTTTGCCACATAGTTTTGTTTGTATATATTTTGTCTCATTGGTCTTTTGCTTGCATATTTTGTTTTCTGATTACATTTTTATAGGGTTTGTGTGGGGAATGGCTCTTGTCTTTTTTATGTATGTGTGTTTTTTCAAGTGTATTTTTTAAGAGAGAGAAAGGAAGTTCACGGTGTTGACTGGTTAGGGATGTGGGGAGGTTCTGGGAGCAGTTGAGAAAGGAAAAAGCATTATCTAGGGTTCATAGATTCAACAGCCCTGGGTGGTTAGCTATGTTTACAGTAGCACTCATGAGTTCTTTTCTATTGAGTGGGCCTTAAGTCTAATTGGGTGGCTACTTGTTACCATCAAGATATAAATGCTACTATTACACCTTCAGAGATACCTTGTATCTTTATATTTAATGCAAGTGTTAACATAGATACACTTGGAATTACCCATTTATTATTAATTTCCTTATAAAATTGTATCTTTCCTTTCTGTTTTTTCTTTTTTCAAATTTATTTATTTATCTTTATTTAAACTATTATTTATTTACTTACTTATTACTTGTTTTATTTCCTATCCACAGTTTCCCCTCCTTCCTCTCTTCCCAGTCCCTTCCCCATACCCCACTATGTTCTCACTTCTCAATCCATTCCTCCACTGTTTCTGTTTAGGAAAAGGGAGGTTTCCCATGGTTATAAACAAAACATGGTATATCAAGTTGCAGTAAGACTAAGTAAGCATCTATCCATTTATAAGTTTGGGCAAGGTGACCTAGTATGGTGAGTAGAGTCCCAAATGCCAGTAAAAGAGTCGAAGACATCTCCTGTTCCCACCCCTAACAATAGTGGATATGTAGCCTGAGCTGGCTATCTTCTATGACCAGATTGGTACCTATTCCAAGTGTCATCAGAGAGCTTCACCCAGCAACTGATGGAAGCAGATACAGAGCCACAGCCTTTTTTAAAATTCTTTTTTATCTTACATGAATAAATAAAATATTTTAATATTTAGCCTATACCTAGTTGATGAAAATTAATATGAGTTTTATGAGTGAGTGTTAGGATCTACATGTATAAAAATATAAAAATGATACCCATTATTATATTTTATATGATAACTTAAAATTAATAGAAAATAAAATTTCTTATATCTCGATATATCTTCCTAAAATGACATACATATGAACAAAAAATTCTAAAAGTTTCAATAGGGAGGAGAGACAGCTTATCTACAAACAGATAGTAGAGTAGCATCTATTTACAAACAGATAGTAGAGTAGCATCTATCTACGAACAGATAGTAGAGTAACATCTATTTACAAACAGATAGTAGAGTAGCATCAGGCTTCTTATATAAAAATCTGAATGGTAGAAAACAATGCCAGTGACCCTTCAAAATTATAAAGGAAGAAATCTTTTGACTCACAACTCCAAAACAGATTTAAATATATAAAATGTATATAATATTTGCATAAAATCTTTGATAATTTTATTCACACATATAATGTACTTTGATATTAACCCCCACTCTTCTTCCTAAATCCTCTAAGATCTACTACTAACTCTCCATGCCCTCCAGTCCTTCTTTCTTTTAAAAAATCATCCATTGAGCCCAATTTATGCTCTCTATATAGTCTTGCATAGAAGCTATCTCCTCCAAGCTGTAAGTCAGATGTGTCTCAGAGATGGTTAAAATAATATAGGCTATTGCTATTGCTATTGCTTGCCCACTAAACTGGATAGTATAGTCCTACTACTAAAGACAATACAAACACTAATTACAATACATGGAGAAATAAGGTTCATAGTGACTTTTTCCTTCTGGGTAGCTTTCATAGACCCAGAAAGTGCTTTGAAGGTTTCTTACAGTTGTGAACCCTGTGAACAACAAAGATGACCAGCATGGCAAGAAGTATCCGTAGGTACAAAAGTGACACAAATGTTATGGAGATAACCTACTATTTTCTGGTTGGATTAAAGGCCTGCTCCATAGGAGGAAACAGATGTTTGCTACTTTGGGGAACTCATCTCTTCTAGAACTAAACCTACTACTAATTTGCTAAGTAGACA